AACAGCCAACAAAAAGTCCCCTGCATGAGGAGCTCTCACTACCAGGAGGTGGGCTCTATCCTTCCCTGACACACTCTGAAGCACTGTTGAGGCTTTTTACTCCACTATCGGGCCATCCCAGTGCGACGGTTTGTAGTTGTTGGGGGGAGCAGGTCTGGTGTCAGAGCCTGTTAGATTATCCCAGATCATGGCTACGTCAATGAACTTTTGACCCTGGACTCCAATCTTGTCCGTAAGATGTTCAGGAGAATCGCTGCTGGATGAAACGAATGGGGATAGAAAAGCAGGTAGTGCAATATGTGATGACTTGCGGACACCGATGCTTCCTAGTCTGACTGGAAGTGTAGCTTGGTTCCACTGCCGGTCTTCTAGAGTTGATCAGTCCCTCAGCCTTGATAGTAGATGGTCAGTCTCTTAGCCTAAATGCAATGAGACCAGAGACTTATTTACTGGAGGGTTGAGATGAGGTCACATGTAAGGGAAAGAATTGCTCACTGATCGAAGTAGGTCATGGTAAACAATTGTTAGCAATATAGTTGCTAAAGACCTTCCTTGTACCAAGAGCCAAGTACTTGTAAGTCTGGAATTCTGCAGTGGGAGCCATTTCTTGTGTTGGTGGATGGCACCGACTGATGGCTGTTCTCCGTGGACCTAAATAACTTGGTTGGTGTTGCTGTGGCAGATGAAGTGGTGGTCTCAGGCTTTACAGAGTTGCTTGAAAAGTTGTCAAAATCATCTATTAAAATATGCTTCATATCAACAGCCTCTTCACGAGCAGCCCAGATGAGCTTCCTTTACTCATCAAGAACTATTGATAGAATGAAGAGTTTTATGGTTTTATACTTTTATAGACTCTTCTTCCTAGAAGCTGTTAGGGTATTAACAAACGTATAGCTGAATCTCTCTTAAAGTTCAGACAGCTCAACACGGAGTCCTCTAGTATATGGTAAAACAATACTTGGTTCTGAGTCTAGGCAAAGGTAGTAGCAATCTCTCAAAGGAAGTGAGAGTCTAAATATCTGTGGCAAGAGTGCTGTACCTGACAGAACTAACAGTTTACAAACCTTACTTACCATCCCATGAGCTGAAGCCCAGCGTCTTTCAGTTTATCGCTCACAACCAACTGCAGTGTATGGATAAAGCAAGAGCGGTGTGCTGGAAGGTATACTAACAGCTCACTAATGGCTTTACTAAGTTCCTCAGGTTCTACCAGGGATCATAATCCGTTTCAGCAGAATTTTCATTACCTTGCATTCTTGGAAGGCTAATAAATGCTTTTAGCATATTTGAAGCTTTGTCTATAGTAAATGAGTGCACCTAGCCTTGCAAGTCACAGGAAGAAATGCCCTGGTGTCTCTGATGAATATGCCCAGCTGAGTGGGGAGTGGGGTCCTAGCAAAGCATGGCTAACAGTAGCTGGAAGATGATAAAGTAGTGACACGTACAGTAACCCTTATGTACGATCTCATGTCTCGACCTGACCTGATAGCTGGAAGACTTGGCTTAACTAAGTTTTGCTTTTAATAAGCTGTGAAGTGCTGATGACACATTAGGAAGAAGAGTGGCACTTAATATTTACTACCAGCCATTACGTAACTGGAACTGAGGTACTAAACAGTCACAAAAATGTCGACACTCAACCAACGACAGTGGTTGAAGGCTGTCTTCATGAAAGCAGCGAGCTTACTGGACGCTTCCTTCTGACGGGGATCATTATGGGAACCTTGTTAAGCCTTTCCTGTGAGGGATGCTGTTGTTCGGATAGTTGTTTGAGTTGTGGGGGGATTCCAGGATGATGCCTCTCTCAGTGCTTCTCTCAGTGCCTCTCTCAGTGCCTTTCTCAGTACCTTTCTCAGTGCCTCTCTCAGTGCCTCTCTCAGTGCCTCTCTCAGTGTCTCTCTCAGTGCAAACATCATAGGAAATATGACTAAAAACTAAACCACACCAGTCCCATGATCATTATTTTTTTTTTTTGCTATGCAATTATTGACAACATGAACAACAAACACCCGGATTAATGACAGCTCAGTGAGTGTTACCAAGTTAGATCACCAAATTTTGGATAAGCACAGTAATTATGGCACTGTATTTGATGTGTATTTGAAGCAAATACAGACAATTCAAACTTCAAATACAAACTGAAGTACATAAGTTTAATTTCTGTCCAGAACCAATTAAAGTTAAAATAATTGTTTTTTCTGTATTTGTAAATGTAACTACGTATTAAAATAATTGTTTTTCTGTATTTGTAAATGTAACTACGTATTAGACCTCATCGCTGATGCATACATAGGATGACCTGGAAACTGGAATGAACAACTGACGTCATTTTAGTCGATTCTGGACCATTACATTTCTAAAAGTAAGGTTGATAAATATTAACCGTAGTGAATTATATTTTTTTTTTTTTTGAAAAGAAGCGAATGGCATAAAATACAAAGAATACGTCAGTAAATTTAAAGAATTTATCTAAAAAGTTAAATGGAAAAATAAATTTTGAAGAATGCTTTTATCGCAAGGTGCCCTTTGAGGAGGGGTTCCTGGATGCTGGTGAAAGGCTCTTGATCCAAGAAATTGGAGCTACGATGAACATTTCTCAAATCAAACCTGCTTCATTCTCAGGCCCTGTGTGACTCCTATGGGTTTAGCACTCTCCCATGAATGTAATATATTATCACGTACCTTAGTCTTAACCTCCTTGTCATAGATCAGCTTCTGTACATTGTAATCTCTCTCAGCTTTGGCGATTAATGTTTCATTGGCGAATTTAACCATAACAAGTTGCTCATACGCCAGGCAGTTCTTGATTACGGTGTCTCTCTTGGCTATAGCCTCACCAATCTTGGCGTCCCGCTTAACCTGTGCTGTCTGAGACATCCCCAGAGCTTGTAGATAACCCTGAAAACCAGTGAAATATGTGTGCATGTTAAATTATTTCAAGGATAGCATGGATTCCACTGCGACGATACATGGATGAAATGGATTATTGGTGACAAGTGTGAAGGTGACTGAGGCAAGTGTGTGCAACACTTGGGTGTCTTTATTGTAAGGACGAGTTTCCCCAACCCGCGGCTTTATCAGTCCAGTACAGATAATAATCGTGGAGATAGTGACAAACATGATGTAGTCTGATGTGATCAGTCCCACAGCCTTCATGAATCTGTTGGAGACGGTGGGAGATGTAAAGAAGTAGTTTTAGGTAATCAGTCCCTCAGCCTTTATGAACATGTTCAGTTCGTAAGTCTTCTTTCGTCAAGACTGAAGGACTGATCATCTCAAACTACTTCTCCATTAGTATAAAATAATATAGCAATAGTATACAATCCGACAAGTTGGTGAATTAGAAACATGTGCAACGTCTAGGTATATTTATTTTGTAGACGTTTGACCATCCAGTGGCTTTATCAGTACAATACATGGACATAAACAGAAGACTAAAGAACACGAGGAAATCAGTCCCTCAGCCGAGTAGCAGGTGTTGAGAACCATACTCTTGTTGAAACTGAAGGAAATGCAGGAAGATGAGCAATTATGTACTAGAGTGAGATGAGCTGCAATAACCAAGGTATCACTGGTAGTCGGGACCACTAGATGAAGGATTACTTCTTCTGTAATGTTAAGTGTACGTCTCTGTATCGCATTGATAAAGAAACTGGATGGTAAAACGTCAATAGAATAAAGATACCCAGATGTTTCAATATGTGTCTAATTCATCAACTTGCCGGTAATGCATACCATTGCTATCTTACATCACGAAACCTTGGTACAGAGGACGTCTTCACAACCTAGTTACTACCTCTGGCCCAAGTCTTGGTCATAAGTCCACTGGTGAGTCTCGCGTACCAGTGAAAATGCCTTCACCTACTGCACCTCATCTGACTCCAGGATATATATGTTCTCATCTTCCTGCCTTTGCTCTAGATTCATCAAGATTGTGATTCTCAACACCTGCTCCTACACTGAGGGACTGATTACCTCATCCCTCTATTGTCTTCGGTATATAAGTCTACGAGGCTGAGGGACTGATTATCTTCTCTTGTACAGTCTTCCGTGTATGTCGCTATATTTACTGATAAAACTAATGGATGGTAAAACGTCTACAGAATGAAGATAGCCAGATGTTGCACATGTGTCTATTCTAAAATAGAATTAAGTGTAAAGACAAAGACACAAGTTGCGAAACAAGCATTTATTGGGACAACACTTCACTTTGTTGATAAATTAGACACATGTGCAACTCTTGGGTATCTTTATTGATGAAACGTTTCGCCACACAGTGGCTTCATCAGTCCATACAAAGGAGAATCTTGAAGAACAGGAGAAGAATGAGGTAATCAGTCCCTCAACCTTGAGTCGATGTTACACGACCTATGACTGCTGCACCTCTCCTGCCAACGGTTTATAAGCTCCTTCTCAGCACGTATGCAGCTGTATAGCCCTTGTGGCTTAGCGCTTCTTTTTGATTATAATAATAATAATAATAATCAGCACGTATGCCGTATTCTATTCAAGATTGATGGACTGACCACATCGACTCAAGGTTGAGGGACTGATTACCTCATTCTCCTCCTGTTCTTCAAGATTCTCCTTTGTATGGACTGATGAAGCCACTGTGTGGCGAAACGTTTCCTCAATAAAGATACCCAAGAGTTGCACATGTGTCTAATTTATCAACATGTCGGTTCTCTGAACCATTCATCTAGGAACTTCACTCTGTGCAGAGCTTCGTCAGGACATGATAAAGACATGACCAGCTCTACACATAGCGACACCTTGTCCCAAGTGTCTTTGTCTTCGAAGATCTAAGATGATGTTAACAAGTGTGGCATGCTATGAATACGTTATACTTTATTTAGCGTATGTCACACCCATGTAGGCTGCCTCCTGACCAGCGAACCACTGATGAGAGAATAACAATTGGGACCCCCTTGTTATACTAGCACCTTGGTTCAACCCAGCCAATCACAAGGAAGCCCTCCAAATTTGTGAAACAACTGCAAACACAATTGTGACACAATTGCAAACAAACCATACCACGGGTGGGGCTTGAACCCGCTCTCAGAGAGCCGTAAAACTCCAGCATCGGTCTGGAGGTTAACGATTCTCTGACCGAGGGTTCAAGCCCCACCCGTGATATGGCTTGTGAAACGATACTGGGGACTCGTGGAGCAACATGGCAGACTTACCACAAGTCCGGTCGCTCACAGTTCTCACTGTCTCGTGCTTGCAAACTTGCTTTGTACATGGTGTATATACATTGTACACATACACAAGAACACAAGAATGGAGGAACACTGCAGAAGGCCTACTGGCCCATGCGAGGCAGGTCCTTGCATGCTATTTAGGTGAAGGAAGTTTATATAAGTATTTATTGCTGACTTCTGCTCGTACCTCATTCCCACCTCGGTTATCGTACAACAAGCAGGTGTACAGGCCACAAGACTTCACCTGTGATCGTAATAACAAGACAATGCGAGCTATGGAATTTTATTTGTAATTTACTGAGGAAGCTCATCCACCAGGGACTTTATCAATGACTTAATAAAGATCCTGTGGACGGAACGTCTTCACAAATAAAATGCTGCGCGAACTAAAATGCTAAGAGAAAACACAATAAGTGTCCAGGGCCCAAGACTGTTCAACAGCCTCCTACCAGGCATAAGGGGAATTGCCAATAGGTCCCTGGCTACCTTCAAGAAGGAGCTGGACAGATACTTAAAAGTCAGTGCCGGATCAGCCGGGCTGTGGTTCGTACGTTGGACTACGTACGGCCAACAGTATAACAGCCTGGTTGATCAGGCCCTGATCCACAGGGAGGCCATGGTCGTGGACCGGGCAGCGGGGGCGTTGATCCCCGGAATAACCTCCAGGTAGACCCGCATTGTGTCTTACTGACACACTGACAGTATACTCAGCCACTGTATGACCATAATACAGGTTTGTTGTGTCTGCATGATAACTTAACATGCACTGTGTCTGCATGATAACTTAACATGCACTGTGTCTGCATGATAACTTAACATGCACTGTGTCTGCATGATAACTTAACATGCACTGTGTCTGCATGATAACTTCACATACATTGTGTCTGCATGATAACTTCACATACACTGTGTCTGCATGATAACTTAACATGCACTGTGTCTGCATGATAACTTAACATGCACTGTGTCTGCATGATAACTTAACATGCACTGTGTCTGCATGATACTTAATCATGCACTGTGTCTGCATGATAACTTAACATGCACTGTGTCTGCATGATAACTTAACATGCACTGTGTCTGCATGATAACTTAACATGCACTGTGTCTGCATGATAACTTCACATACATTGTGTCTGCATGATAACTTCACATACACTGTGTCTGCATGATAACTTAACATGCACTGTGTCTGCATGATAACTTCACATACATTGTGTCTGCATGATAACTTCACATACACTGTGTCTGCATGATAACTTAACATGCACTGTGTCTGCATGATAACTTAACATGCACTGTGTCTGCATGATAACTTAACATGCACTGTGTCTGCATGATAACTTAACATTGCACTGTGTCTGCATGATAACTTAACATGCACTGTGTCTGCATGATAACTTCACATACATTGTGTCTGCATGATAACTTCACATACACTGTGTCTGCATGATAACTTAACATGCACTGTGTCTGCATGATAAGTTAACATGCACTGTGTCTTCATGATAACTTAACATGCACTGTGTCTGCATGATAACTTAACATGCACTGTGTCTGCATGATAACTTAACATGCACTGTGTCTGCATGATAACTTCACATACACTGTGTCTGCATGATAACTTAACATGCACTGTGTCTGCATGATAACTTCACATACATTGTGTCTGCATGATAACTTCACATACACTGTGTCTGCATGATAACTAACATGCACTGTTGTCTTCAATGATAACTAACATGCACTGTGTCTGCATGATAACTTAACATGCACTGTGTCTGCATGATAACTTAACATGCACTGTGTCTGCATGATAACTTAACATGCACTGTGTCTGCATGACAACTTCACATACATTCGTCCTCAAAATGCTCTTCCACATAAAAAATACGAACTTATGTATAATGTGTATAATCGACATTATATATATTTTCTGTGCCAAACACCACAGAAAATAATCACGATGTCTGAAAATAAGTAATTTGAAGTAGGAATTGCTACAGCTGTTTAAACTTGATAGAAGATAATTCACTACAAACTAAGTAAAATTATTCTAAAATCAATAAACATTTCATAATTATTAATATATATTTATATATATAATCATAAAATTAGTGTAAAATTCTGCTGACGAGAAGAAAGGCCATTTGTACTTGTCTTACCAGATCATCAGTGAGATCCCTCACTGTGTATGATATAACATGAAGACCAAGGTTGTAGAGGTCCTTAAATGCTACCTCAAACACGCGAGTGTTAAATAATTCGCGATTCTTGTAGATCTCCTGTAAGGGAAAGAAACATTACATACATTAATCAGTTTAGACTAGAGATGCAGTTAGAATGATAAATTCTCACTACAGGCAGCACACTCCACCAATATTCAATACACTCAACCTGCTCACCATACAAAACATCCATACTTATTACTGCACCTATTACATACATAGAACACTTAACTCTGATATTAACCCTCCCCTCAAACATCTCCTTGCCAACCTCAACAGAACACATGACCATAACACAAGGCACAGATCACTCTTTGATATTCCTCGTGTCCATCTCACACTATGCAAAAACTCAATGCACATAAAAGGCCCTAAAATCTGGAATTCATTACCTGTAAATATAAAAGAAACACTACCTGTTTATAAATTCAAGTCTCTTCTCAAAGATCACTTACTCACCCAAAACCAAATAAAACTGAATAACTGAACCTTTAAATTGTATATCTTAAATTTTTTCTCAAAATTTACACATAAATGTTAAACGTAAAACCCAATCTAACTTTATTTTTTTTTAAAATACACTACCTAACAGAATACCCCATACGACGAATGTCAAAAATGCAGCAACATATACCTGTCTTTGTAATATCACTTGGTTTTTAATTTAAACTGTTTACTTTAAGTTTTATCACATTTCTCATTGCTTAGTTAATCTTAATTTAATTTTAAGCCACCCGTAATGCTATGCATAGTATAGGTGGTTTGGGGCATGCTGTTTTTTCGTTTTTTTTTTGTACCTCTGTATGTGTGCTAAAATTGTTAATAAATAAATAAATAAAAAATAAATACGAGGATAAGTCGGGTAAATGTTAAAAGATATTTTTTTCCAAATATTTAGCGTTATGTCAGCAAAGCCTTTAAGGTTATAGCAGCGGACTGCGACAGCAGTCGCCACAGATGAGGAAGAGCTTGTGTTTCCCAACGTTTCGCTCTGTGTAAGCTTTTATAGCTTTCCCTAGAGTAAAAAGTTGTCGTAATAACTCAAGTTTTACACCCGGACCTTTCTTCATTAATCATTTTCATCTTCATATGACATAGTAATGTCTGGGAATAATGACAGGGGGCCATACTGTGCTGGGTTACAACAACACCACCAAAACAATTTCATAAAACTTTTAATATATATATATATATATATATATATATTATATATATATATAATATATATATATTATATTATAATATATATTTAATTTATATATATATTTATTTATATATTATTTTCACATGGCCGATTCCCCCCAAGGCAGGGGGCCCCAAAAAAAAAAAACTTTCACCATATTCACTCCAACTTCTTGCCAAAGGGTGCTTTACACTACAGTTTTTAACTCAACATTTAAAACCCCCCTTCAGAGTGCAGGCACTGACTTTCCCCTCTCCAGGCTCAAGTCCGGCCTCCGGTTTCCCGAACCCCCTTTATAAATGTACTTTGTCACACTCCAAAACAAAGTCAAATATTAAAAAACCATTTGTCTCCCTTCATTTTCCCATAACCCCCTCCGCACGCCCGCTGAAGTCCAAACCCCCGCACACAAAACCTCCTTTACCCCCCCCCCCAACCTTTTCCTAGCCGCCCCCTCCCCCGCCTTCCCTTCCATACAGACTGATACACTCTTAATCTTTTCTGTTTCGCTCCATTCTCTCTACATTTCCGTCCACCTCAACAACCCTTCCCACCCCTTGGACAACATTTTTTGGTAACCCCGCACCTCCCCCAAAACTCCAAACACAAATTCTCGCATTATTTCAACCACCATTGCCCTCAACTTTAATCTCCAGGGCCTCCAGCCTTCTCCTCGTGCAACATTCATCCCCATGCTTACACCCTTTTAAAAGAGTGTGGAAAACTATACTCTCTTACATTCCCCTCCAAGGAAAAGTTCTTTGTCTCCACAGACTTCTAAGGCACCATCCCCCTTTTTTCCCCCTCATCAATTCTATGATTCACCTCATCCTTCATGACCCATCCGCTGACCGTCCACTCCCCCAAAAATCGAAACATTCCTTCCTCCTACCCCCCTCCAATTGATATCCAATCTTCCCTCACCAATTTTTTTTATCCTCATAACCCTTTTCCCTTTTCCCGTATTCACTTTTTAATTTTTTTCTTTTGCACACCACCAAATTCATCCCCCCAATTCTGCAACTTCTCTTCAGAATTTCCCCCAAAAGCACAGTGTCATCGCAAAGAGCAACTGTGAAACTCCCACTTTATTGTGATTTCTTTACTTTTAAATCCCCGCCTTGTCAGACCCCGCATTTCTTCTCTTTCAAACCCCCCCCCAAAAAAATAATTAAACAACCACGGGAAAATTACCATCCTTTCAAGGCCCACTTTTAGGGAAAAAATTCCCCCTTCCTTGACTCTAACTTTAGCCTCACTATCCTCGTAAAAACTCTTTACTGCTTTCAGTAACCTACCTCCTACACCATACACCTGCAACATCTGCCACATTGCCCTCCTATCCACCCTGTCATACGCCTTTCCAAATCCATAAATGCCACAAAGACATCTTTAGCCTTATCTAAATACTGTTCACTTATATGTTTCATATTCTCTTTTTCATATTCTCTTTTCTCCTTCCATAACTGATCATTCAACATAAACTGCTACCCCTTCCTTTGCTCTAACTCTCTCAGATACTCCAGATTTAATCCCATTTATTTCCCCTCACCGAAACTCCCCTACCCCCTTCAGCTTTGTTTCGCTTAGGGCCAGGACATCCAACTTCTTTCATTCATAACATCAGCATATATTATATATATATAAATAATATATATATATATATATATATATATATATATATATATAATATATATATAATATATATTATATATAAAATATTATATATATATATATATAATATATATATATATATTTACATATATATTTGTGTGAGTGTGTGTGTGAACTCACATAATTGTACTCACCTAATTGTGGTTGCAGGGGTCGAGACTCAGCTCCTGGCCCCGCCTCTTCACTGATCGCTACTGGGTCCTCTCTCTCTCTGCTTCCTGAGCTTTGTCATACCTCATCTTAAAACTATGTATGGTTCCTGCCTCCACTACTTCACTTGCTAGGCTATTCCACTTGCTGACAACTCTACGACTGAAGAAATACTTCCTAACGTCCCTGTGACTCGTCTGAGTCTTCAGCTTCCAGTTGTGACCCCTTGTCCCTGTGTCCCCTCTCTGGAACATCCTATCTCTGTCCACCTTGTCTATTCCCCGCAGTATCTTGTATGTCGTTATCATGTCTCCCCTGACCCTTCTGTCCTCCAGTGTCGTCAGTCCGATTTCCCTTAACCTTTCCTCGTACGACATTCCCTTGAGCTCTGGGACTAGCTTGTTGCAAACCTTTGTACTTTCTCTAACTTCTTGACGTGCTGACCAGGTGTGGGTTCCAGACTGGTGCTGCATACTCCAGTATGGGCCTAACATACACAGTGTACAGTGTCTTGAACGATTCCTTATTAAGGTATCGGAACGCTATTCTCAGGTTTGCCAGGCGCCCGTATGCTGCAGCGGTTATTTGGTTGATGTGTGCCTCCGGTGATGTGCTCGGTGTTATGGCACCCCAAAGTCTTTCTCCCTGAATGAGGTCTGTAGTCTTTGTCCACCTAGCCTATACTCTGTCTGCGGTCTTCTTTGCCCCTCCCCAATCTTCATGACTTTGCATTTGGCTGGATTGAATTCGAGAAGCCAGTTACTGGACCACATGTCAGCCTGTCCAGGTCTCTTTGCAGTCCTGCCTCATCCTCGTCCGATTTAATTCTTCTCATCAACTTCACGTCATCTGCGAACAGGGACACTTCAGAGTCCATTCCTTCCATCATGTCGTTCACATATATCAAAAATAGCACTGGTCCTAGAACTGACCCCTGTGGGACCCCGCTCGTAGCAGGCGCCCACTGTGATACCTCTTCACGTACCATGACTCGTTGCTGCCTCCCTGTCAGGTATTCCATTATCCATTGCAGTGCCCTCCCTTTTACATGTGCCTGATCCTCCAGCTTCTGCACTAATCTCTTGTGGGGAACTGTGTCAAAGGCCTTCCTGCAGTCTAGGAAAACGCAATCTACCCACCCCTCTCACTCGTGTCTTACTTCTGTTACCTTGTCATAAAACTCCAGGAGGTTTGTGATACAAGATTTGCCTTCCATGAACCCATGCTGGTTTTCATTTATAATCTTGTTCCTTTCCAGGTGTTCGACCACTCTCCTCCTGATAATCTTCTCCATGACTTTGCACACAATACATGTCAGAGACACAGGTCTGTAGTTTAGTGCCTCGTTTCTGTTTCCTTTCTTAAATATGGGGACTACATTAGCTGTCTTCCATTTCTCAGGTAGTTGCCCAGTTTCAAGGGATGTGTTGAAGATTGTGGTTAGAGGCACGCACAGCATCTCTGCTCCTTCTCTAAGGACCCATGGGGAGATGTTGTCCGGTCCCATCGCCTTTGAGGTGTCAAGGTCACTTAAGAGCTTCTTCACCTCCTCCTCAGTTGTTCGTATGTCATCCAACACTTGTTGGTATATTCCCTCTTGATTTTCCCCTTTCTGTGCTGTCTTCCACAGTCCTTCCTGTCTTTACTGTAAAAACTTCCTTAAATCTCCTGTTCAGCTCCTCACATACCTCCTGATCATTTCTTGTGAGTTCTCCACCTTCTGTCCTTAATCTGATCACCTGGTCTTTGACTGTTGTCTTCCTCTGAAGTGGCTATACAACAGTTTCGGGTCAGTCTTGATTCTCGATGCTATGTCATTTTCATACTGTCGTTGGGCCTCCCTCCTTACCTGTGCGTACTCATTCCTGGCTCTGCGACTGATCTCCCTATTTTCGTGTGTTCTCTGCCTTCTGTACTTTTTTCATTCTCTATTGCATTTTGTTTTTGCCTCCTTACACCGTCGGGTAAACCAGGGGCTCGTTCTGGTCTTCCCGTTGTTACTGTTGCGCTTGGGAATAAACCTTTCCACTGCCTCCTTGCATTTTGTTGTTAATATTCCAT